AACCTGTAGGTTCCAAACATTAAAGTTAATAAAGAAAATTAGAGCGCCACACGCGCCCCACGATGTAATACATCGGGAATAGTTAAAAAAAAAATATATATTAAAACAAACATTAATATAATAAATAATATGGGTATAGTAACTTAGTAAAGTGAATAAGTTATCATCTCTCTGAGTAGTAAATTATGAGTTTAAAATCTACTGACAGTGAAATTTAAATATACACCTATATAATATATAAACAATATTATAATAATAATATTCTGTTAATCAGTTGAAATAAGATATTTGTAACTATAGTTACACTAACATGACTGGCAGGTCTGAGGTATCTGTATAATCTTGGTTATATAGAAAAATATAAATTATTTCCAGATGGTGTAAACCTAAAATAAGTTTTTATAGCTATATAAATCTATAGAACTGAGAAGCTAGAACTTATTTAGAAATTTCAAGTAAAGAAATAGTATGAATCTTTGACAATGCTATTGTAAAGGCTAAATCTAGAAAATGGATACTAATGTGGAAGAATCAGGCAGGCAAGAATCTCAGGTAAGAGATACCACCAACTAGGCTGTCAGATTTTAGACTAAAGAAAAAGGATATTAGACTAGCCTTAATATACCAAAAACAGATCATAGTCCTATTAAGCTATCTAGATTGGAAATCTGAAGTCAAAGCAAAGGTATACTAAAAGTACTAGAAATATGTTGTGAAATCAATATTAAGATTTAGGTAAACTTTGTAAAAGTAACCCTTATTAGTGTTCTAAAAGTAGATAGATAGTTAACAATGAGAAACCTCTTGCACCTTACTGGCAGGTGACATATTCTGAAATGTATAACAGTCTGAAAACTAGTACAAAAAGAATAGGTACCATACTGCTTAGACAGTATACTGGTTAGATATATATGGGAATTAGTTGGGATTATATTATAACAGAACAGATATTTAGAGAATTTAAAGAATAATTTCCTAATAGGTTATAGGTATGGTATCTAGTATAGAACCTTAGACTGAACTATTTAAATAGACAATTAAACATTGTACATGTGATTAGTTGTATTCTTATTTCTATAAAAATAGTTGTAATAACTAATCCAATAAAAGTCAATAAAGTATCACCACAAAGTATGGCCTTTAACAAAAAAAAACAAATATATATATATATAAATATATCTGATAAAATTTAAAATATGTGCAATGCATAATATATGGATTATTTGCAGCATTACAGGTTTTAAAATTTATTGAAAACTTTTTTTCATATAAGATGTGGAGTCAGAAACAAAAAGTTATAGTACATTGATTAAAATAGACTATTCAATTAATATTTGAAAAATAATCTGTCCAACTGTTACATTATTAACTTCATTAAAATAATCTACCAAAACTAATTTAGTTACATTTTGATAACTGAACAAAATGTTGATAATACTTTTTGCACAATTATTTGTAGTTTCATCAGTGATAATTATAACTGGTTTACCAAAAAATTTAGCCCTTAATGTTGCAACATGTTTTTCATATACTGGCTTTAAATAGTTCTGTCTTAGAGCATCAGCTAAAAGAATAGAACTGATATTGTAAAGATTGCTTTTAAGTTATGAATATAGCTTATCAACTTTTTTTAAAGATATGTTGGTACTTACAAATGTCTTAACTAAGTCAAAAATTCTATTCTTTTTTTTTTGTACTATGCTCATTATGTATGTATTGTTGATTGTTTTAATTTTATTTCATGTTGTTCTTTTGCAGCCTTGTTGGTAGTATGTTTATTACTGTTAATATGAGTTGTAATTGTTGACCTGACTTCATAGTTAACAGGCAAATCACAAAACTGACGCATCAAGGTTCCATGATTAGCAATAAAATATTCGTGAAACTCATTTGCATGAATAATTGCAGAAACTTGATATGACATTTAGGCTGAAAAAAATGATATATAAACTGTCAACTTTATATTAAACTTACAGTTCTTATTAATTACAAGCTTAGAAATTACTGTTTTTAAAATTCTTTCTTACAAAATTTATTGAGTGTTTAATCAGATTGGTTTAAAGAAAGAAACTCTATTTAAGAATTGTTATTAAAATTCTATGAAGGAATTAGCATAAGAACTTTTATTATTATTATTTCAACATTTACTAGTACCAAAGAACTTATTACAGCAAATTATGATGCCCATGAGACTTGAAAGTTGCGAACTCTAATGGTAATGAAATTTGATAGCAACAAGGTAGCAATGAATGCTGATGGTGGCGAAATTTTGCAGTGGAGAGACTTAGCAACAATGAACCTAATCCTGATGGCAATGAAATATAGTAACAGTGACAACTTGATAGCAATGAAATGTAGTAACGATGGCAACTTGATAGCAACAAGGTAGCAATGAATGCTGATGGTGGCGAAATTTTGCAGTGGAGAGACTTAGCAACAATGAACCTAATCCTGATGGCAATGAAATATAGTAACAGTGACAACTTGATAGCAATGAAATGTAGTAACGATGGCAACTTGATAGCAACTTGATAACAGCGAATTTTTAGTGGCGAAGGGGCTTGCAGCAATGAATCAAGCAAACTGCAAAGAAATTGGACCTTGGTGAAACTTGGATCAAGCAAGAGTTTTATCATGCTGAACTTCGAACTTCTTTTTTTTCTTTTTTGATACTAAACTAAAACTTTGAAACTCTTACACTAAATATTTAACCACTCCAAGCTTCAACCTAAAACTTAACCTAAACCTCAACCTTAATTAACAAATTTCTTACGCAAAGGTGCCGAAACTTTAACTGATTTTTTTTTCCTTTTTTTTTTTTTTTTTTTTTACATTTATACATTTGATTAACCAATCGGATCTAATGAATGATATTTTATTGCAATTTAATTGGCTAATTGTCATGTGAACCATCAAAAAGAGGTAAAATGTTTTATAATGTGATTTCTAATAAAAATTGCGATTAATTGTAATTTAATGTTTTCAAAATTTTTTAGTGTCACTGGCTGCGGCCCAAGTAACCAAAAGCCTTAATCACCACCAACAAATCTAACACCCTCTTTCGTAAGGTTATCTATTGTTGGTTATGCGAGATATTGGATTGTGGAGCGACTGAGTCGCAGTTTTCCGAAAGTTCACAATAGCTACACGACACATATCTATGGCTAGATGTAAATTAAATTCCAATTTTTTATGCGCATGAAATGCACATGGGAATTTTTCGGAATCGTTTATGAGGTTTCGGAATATTTCGGAATATGTTAAAAATTCCGGCTCATACGTAAAGTTTATTCATACGTATTAAATATATATGATTGTGTAATGAAAAACAAATGTAAGCATCAATAAATAAGTTAATAAATATAGAATTTTACACCAATCTACCATTTTAATAAATACATGCATAGTAATTAGATAATCTACCAGTATTATATTGCTTTTCCGGCATTATGAGTATATATAAAAATCATGCGCAGTGATGGGCCACGCGTGGGTTTTTTTGGATCCCGCGCGGGATTTTTAACATGAGATTATTTGGCCTGCATTAGTATATCATCTGGCCTGCATTAAATATCTTCCGGCCTGCATTAACATTAATGGCCAGTTTCTAAGGCCGGGGTAAAATAACAGCATATAAAATACCAGTCTAAAAAATTTCGCTGACCAATCAAATTTCGAGATCAGGTATAACGTGAAAAAAGGTCAAGAAACTTAAATAATCCAAAAATCGTCCGTATCTCAATGAAACTGCCTTCTGCATATTAATAAAATGTTTTCCTTGCAAAATTTTGGTATAACTATAACCCTCTAAACCTAACCTACTTGTAATACCCTAACCTTAACCTAATAGCGAAATGTTTTTTCTTAACGAAGTTTTTTTCTTGGTTTTGCAATAAGATCACTATGATGTGTGAAATTTTTTTTCCTGGTGTTGCTAGTCTTGTAGGTAAAATCGGCATCCAAAAGAATTTGGAACGTCACGTAACAAATATATCGAGCACTAAAAATTCATGTTGCTTAACAAAAAAATACAAACAAAAAAATACAAACAAAAAAATACAAACAAAAAAATACAAACAAAAAAATACAAACAAAAAAATTTAAACATAAGTAATAAATTAATCACTTTATTTATTTCGAATAACTCAATAAACTATTATTTATTATCGCAAGGTTTAAGTCGGTGAAAAATGATTTTTTTACATGAATTTTTAATGCTCGATATATTTGTCACGTGATGCTGTATTTTTACGTACGTAGAATTTTTTATTTGTTTATCGTTCTAGATCAGATATATATATGCGTCTACTTGGTAAAAAAATTTTTTGCCGTTGGTAGTTCTTACTTACTATTCATTTATAATATAAATTCTTTAAATAACATTATTATAACTTGGGTGTTAATAAACCGATTTGGTATCATTTTGAAATGTTAAATGTATTTAAAATATATTATTTTAAGAAATTATATTTCTAGTGATTATCTTTATATATATTTTTATAATTCATGAAAAATTAAAAAACTTTGCAAATCCCGCGCGGGTTTTTAAAAAAACTGCGATTTGCTCATCACTAATTGTCATGTACTTAAATCGAGATAAAAACCTGCTAAGCGATAAAGACACAGTACATGCTTATCATTATGGTTAAACAATCCCAATGTATGCATATCGTTGCATAAATTCGCATTTTTGCTGCGTTTAGCACATTGTCCAATCAGATATAAGATTTTGCGGACGCACACATTTTGTGGGCTTAGGGAAACTGCGACTTGGTCACTCCACAATCTAGAATCTCGCGCAACCAACGATAGGTAACCTTACGAAAGAGGGTGTTGGATTTGTCTGGTGGATGGTTAAGGCTTTGGTTACTTGGATCAGCGAAGTCAGGTAGGTTGGATCACGTGATCATGAACTTTAACAACGATTTTAATGACTTTTATAGGATTTACAATGGTAAGAATGATAGTGTATTATTATGAATGGTTATTAAGATGGAGACTTATTATTTAGTGAAGCAAAACGAGACATAATTCTCTTGGGGGCCATTTCGCCCTTTATTTACAATATCAACTTCCTCCCCTTAAAAATACCACATTATATATTTAATATTAAATAAAACTATTTACAATTATTAATTTTAAGTTTTTTAATTTTTTATTATAACTACTCCTTAACCTCCCATGTGTCCTTCTACGTCCGAATGATCTATAATGTAATAAATTGCACTTCGTGCATTTTTCATGTGATCGTGTCACTTTTTGGGACTCACGATTTAAAAATGCCATAGTAATAAGGTAGCCGTGCGACTTTATCGAGTCGTACTAAAACCGGGAACGTAGCAAATGATCTATTAGCCCACCTATTTTTTGCTCTATCAAATGTCCTAACAACATTATTCATGTTAGCATTTATGATAATAAAAGAATGCACAGATGATGACATTAATGGTGCATGTTTGTGTTATCTAAACGAGATCCGGGTTGAAAAGGGTAAACACAAGGCCTTCTGAAATTATCAAAATCTGCTAACATGAGTCATGCTGAAAAAACAGATTATGTTGATTATTGTACGAGCATGGATCGGAGTCGATAACAAATATATACAAGTTTAAAAATCAGAAAAAAGGTTTTCTTTTTTCATTTAGATGACAAATCACATGCCTTTTGAACTGAATGAAGAATCCGAATTGGCATACGTATTTATTTGATATAAAAGTCTGATTGTGTTTTTTGTCTGATGGTGAGATCTAAAGCAGGTTTTAAACGAATGACCAGTGATTCTCAATTACATATTAGCATATTTTTATATTTTGATGCCAAACTTGAAATTTATTATAATAACCGCATTTAGATATGATCGTGATTTCATACGTAAAAATCATCCGATTACTGCATCTAATCAGATTCAAGATTTTATGGACGAACGCAAAACTTGAGTTAAACCATACACTTCGTTACACTACCTTCCTGGTACACCAGTTCAAACAATACTTTTATGAAGCCCAAAATTTTAATACAGTTGACTCTGGATGTAAAAAACCTCCATATAACAACTCAAATTTTAAAATTTTTACAATAGTCCGGTATAGAAAGTGCAATATATAGGTACTTAATAAAGTATAGCCATGCTTTATAACAACTTCTTTTTTCTTCCAGAACCGCGAATTCCATGATAATCGTATTTGGAGTCAAATACGCCTATAAGTTAGTATGCGGGCTGATGTGCATACGTATCTGTCTCTTTTCAATTATTAGAGAGATGCGCTAATTTAAAAATAGAGCATGCACGCTGTTTTAGAAGTTCACACGTACAAAATCGACAATTACACAAGCTTGCTTTTGTATAAATTGTTCGTTCACTATTCATCTAAGCAAAAGATCTGAACAGCAACTTAACCCGATGGAAACTTCATACAAAGATATTGTTTTACCAAATGCCTGGGATATTGAAGATAAATCACCATTTATCAACATAGAATCGAATGGACTTAAAGTGAATTATACGGGTAAGATGAAATAGTGATTAAATCGAACATCTCAATTTAATGAATGTTAATCGTTTATAATTTAATTAAAGGTCCCGATGATAAAGCTGTTATAGTTAGAGCAAATTATCCAATTCCTTTACAATGTGGGATATTTTATTTTGAAATTAAAATCACCGATAACGGAAAAAATGGGTAACGTTAATTATTATTCATGTTATCAACATTACACTTCTGACTGTACGTGCTTGTAACTTTTTTATAATCATCAACTCAATTTATTAACAGGATGATTGGTGTCGGTTATTGCACAAAACAAAGCGATAAAAAAATAGACTCCGATTATATAAATAACATGGTCATGCCTGGTAATACAAAGTTTTATTTTATTTTTTATTATTGTAGATTAACACCTATAACATAAAATTCCTTAGGACAGGAATATAAGGATGATTGCAATAATACGGAAAATGAATCATGGGAGTGTGGTTACCATGGTGACGATGGATATTCTTTTTATCCTGGGGGTGCTGTGTCATACGGACCATCATATACTACTGGTGATACAGTTGGATGCTATTTAAATTTTAAAAATAAGATGGTCTTTTATACTAAAAATGGTGTTAACTTAGGTAATCAACATTTTAGAAATTAAAAGTTTATATGTTCGAAGCAAGTTAGGTAGTAACTTTGATGGAAAATTTTATACTTATAACACATTTCAAGGAATTGCATGTTATCTACCTGACAAATTTAAAGGCACTCTATATCCTTGCGTTGGATTTAGATCGCAAGGCGGGTCATTAGAAGTGAATTTTGGCCATGAAAAGTTTAAATATTTTGGTAAAGTGATTAAAAGGTTTAATCGGTTTCACTTATAAAAGAAATTATCTTGTTAATATATCTATTTTTTTAATTAATAGCAATGAATAATGAAGATATTAATAATAAATCAGATAATGCATTAGCATTGGAATATCAAGAAAAAGTTTATTTCATTATAGGCGGATATGAAAATATGCATGTTAACCTAACAAATGAATTAACAAAATCGTTAGAATCAAATCAAAATAATACGTATGAATTAAGCTATAGAGGAAAAATGTTCTTTATTATGGGCGAATATGATAATGCGTTTGAAGATTTCAGTAGACTGTTAGAAATTGAACCAGATAATACAATGGCATTAAGATATCGAGGAGAGATTAATTATATAATGAAAAGGTATAATGAATCAACTACTGACTTATGGAAATTATTAGCTATTAAACCAAATGATACATGGGCAATGGAGGCTAGTAAATCAGTTCGAGAGTCGTAAGTGTAAAATGAAAATTGTAAATCTTACACCTTAAAAAAGCTTAAATATGCTAAATCTAAATAACAACTACATACTATGTGTCCCTATAGCAAGTAAGTTTTGTAACAGAATTTTACATGCAGTAAATCACGGTAGAAATTCGAATACAAATTAACCTTACAAATTATCTAAACCATGTACATGTACTGCGTGTTGCCACAATAGTCGGTAAGTTTTGCATCAGAATTTTTTTTACATACATTAAATCATGGTAGAAATCACGAGAATTCGAATACAAACTAACCCTATAAATTATCGAAACCACATACTGTGTCATTCCTTATAGCAAGTGAGTTTTGTGACAGAATTTTTACATACTGTACAGTAATCATGGTAGAAATTACTAGAATTCGAATACATTCTAATTCTACAAATTATCTAAACCGCATACTGTGGGTCTCTAAAGCCCGTAAGTTTTGTAACAGATTTTTACATACAGCAAATTACGGTAGAAATTACAAACTAACCCTACAAATATCTAAACTACATACCGTGTGTCACCACAATAGCCGGTAAGTTTTGTCTCGGATTTTTTTTGTTTTTACATACTGTAAATCATAGAAATCACGAGAATTCGGATACAAACTAATCCTACAAATTATCTAAACCATATGCTGGTTGTTCCTATAGCAAGTAAGTTTTGTTCTAGGATTTTTTTTTTTTTTACATACAGTAATCATGGTAGAAATCACGAGAATTCGAATACAGACTAACCCACAAATTATCTAAACTACATATTGTGTGTCCTTGTAGTTTGTAAGTTTTGTTACAGAATTTTTTTTACATACAGTAAGTCACGGTAGAAATCACGAGAATTTGACCTTACAAACTATTTAAACCATATAATGTGTGTCACCACGATAGTTGGTAAGTTTTGTTGTCATACAGTAGTAAATCACGGTAGAATTAGAATACAAACTAACCCTGCAAATGATCTAAACCACATACTGTGTGTCTCTATAGCCCGTAAGTTTTGTACCAAATTTTTTTTTATATACAGCAAATCACAGTAGAAATCAAATACAACTAATCCTACAAATTATCTAATCCACATATTGTGTAGTTTGTAAGTTTTGTAACAAAATTTTTTACAAACGGTAAAATTCACGAAAAACAAATGCAAACTAACCCTACAAATTATTTAAACCACATACTGCGTGTCTCTATAGAGAGTAAGTTGTGAAATAAAATTTTTACATACAGTAAATCATGGAAGAATTCGAATGCAACTAATAATTTATCTAAACTACATACTGTGTCCTACCCTATAGCAAGTGAGTTTTGTGACAGAATTTTTACATACAGTAATTCATGGTAGAAAGTACGAGACTCCGAATACCTTCTAATTCTACAAATTATATAAACAACATACTGTGTGTTTCTATAGCCCGTAAGTTTTGTAACAGATTCTTATATGCAGTAAATCACGAGAATTCGGATGCAAACTAACCATACAAATTATCTAAACCACATAATGTGCGTCACCACAATAGTCGGTAAGTTTTGTAACAAATTTTTTTTGAAATCATGAGAATTTGAATACCTACTAACTCTACAAATTATCTAAACCATCCCTATAGCGAGTAAGTTTTGTAGCAGAATTTTTTCACAAAGTAAATCATGTTAGAAATCACAAAAATTCGAATACAAACTAACCCTACAAATTATCTAATCCACTGTGTCCCTATAGGAGGTAAGTTTTGTAACAGTAAATCACGGTAGAAATCACGAGAATTCGAATACAAACTAATCCTACAAATTATCTAAACCGTTACTGTGTGTCCCTCCCTATAGCAAGTGAGTTTTGTAACAGAAGTTTTACATACAGCAAATCACGATAGAAATCAATACAAACTAATCCTACAAATTATCTAAATCATATACTGTGTGTCCCTCCCTATAGCAAGTGAGTTTTGTAACAGAATTTTTACATACAGTAAATCATGGTAGAAATTACGAGAATTCGAATACCTTCTAACTCTACAAATTATCCAAACCACATATTGTGTGTCCCTATAGCCCGTAAGTTTTGTAACAGATTTTTATATGCAGTAAATCACGAGAATTCGGATGCAAACTAACCATACAAATTGTCTAAACCACTTATTGTGTATCACCACGATAGTCTGTGAGTTTTGTAACAGAATTTTTTTTACATACAGCAAATTGCGGTAGAATTCGAATACATATTAACTATACAAATTGTCTAAACCACACATACTGTGTTTCCATATAGCCCGTAAGTTTTATAATAGAATTTTTTTATATACAATAAGTCACGGTAGAAATCGAATACAAACTAACCCTATAAATTATCTCGTCAAAATAGTGTGTAAGTTTTGTAACAGAATTTTTTTTACATAAAGTAAATCTTGGTAAAATCAGGAGAATTCTAATATCTACAAATTATCTAAACATACTGTGCTACCACAATAGTTTGTAAGTTGTACCAGAATTTTTTACATACAGTGAATCACGGTAGAAATCACGAGAATTCGAATATAAACTAACCTTACAAATTATTTAAACCATATAATGTGTGTCACCACGATAGTTGGTAAGTTTTGTATAAGAATTTTTGCATACAGTAAATCACAATAGAGATTACGAGACAAACTAACCCTTGTGTCCCTATAGCGGGTAAGTTTTGTGACAGAATTTTTTTCATACAGTAAATCGCGGTAGAATTCGAATGCAAGCTAACCATACAAATTATCTAAACCACATATTGTGTGTCCATATAGCTTGTAAGTTTTGTAACAGAATTTTTATATACAGTAAATCGCGGTAGAAATCGAATACAAACTAACCCTATAAATTATAAACCAATACTGTCGTCACAATAGTGTGTAAGTTTTGGAACGGAATTTTTTTACATAAGATAATTACAGTAAAAATCAAGAGAATTCGAATACCTACTAACCCTACAAATTATCAAAACACATACTGTATGTCACCACAATAGTCAGTAAGTTTTATATCAGAATTTTTATGGTAATTCCAGTAAAAATATTTGTCTCTAATTAATTATATGCTAACACATGACAGGCGGTATATATCGGTTATTTTAAATCATAGCTCTTAATATATTATTTTATTTATTGTATTACTTATTATTTATCAATATTTAAGATTTGAAAAAAATTGGACAAGTGGCAATGATGACATTGATAAATTTATTCAACAAACTCAATATAGTGCACACAAGTATAAAGACATCACTGAATGGATACCTTTCGACAAATTTACTAATATAAAATATATTTCTAAAGGGGATTTTGCCACTATTTTTAAGGCAGTATGGACTGATGGATACGTTATGGATTTCGACTATGGTACGAGCCAATGGAAAAGAATGCCGCAAATAGAAGTTTGCTTAAAAAGTTTTGATAACTCTAAATATATGAAACAAGAATTTTTAAATGAAGTATACATGATATAATTTATTATTATTATGATTTTCATTATTATTATTTAATTTATTTATCCTATTTATTAATTAAGATTGCAAACCAACATAATCATGGAGGAAAGCCAGTAATTGACATTTATGGAATAACCAAGAACCCAAATAATGATAATTATATGGTGGTTATGGAATTCGCAAAGCAGGGAAGTCTCAGAAAATTAATAGATAGCAGATATAACGATTTAAATTGGGATTCCAAAGTTGCAATCCTACGTTGCATAGCTGAAGGGCTTGATTCAATCCACAAAGCCAATTTAGTGCATAAAAATTTTCATTCCGGAAATATAGTTAACGAAGATTTGTATAGTTCTTACGTTACTGATTTTAGATTATGTAAGCTAGTGTCTCAAGATTCAGGCAATGAAGAGCTTTTTGGTGTACTTCCTTATATTGCTCCAGAGGCATTATATACGGGCGGAGAGTACACTCAAAAATCAGATATTTATTCTCTTGGAATTATCATGTCAGAAGTATTTACCGGATATCCTCCATACCATGATATCCCACATGATGAAAATTTAGCAAGGCAAATCTGTAAAGGTCGTAGGCCAGAAATTAAATGCGAGGTTCCTCAACTACTTTTGGATTTAATGAATAAATGCTTAGACGCTGAACCTCAAAATCGACCAACTGCTAATGAATTAGCTAATGCGCTGGTCCAATTTTTTGAAGATTTGGACAATGAAGAAACCGAATTATATAAGCAAGTTAAAGAAATTAAAGACTTAGGCAAAAATTCAAATCAAGTTACATTATTACGACTCAACTACCAGAAACATGAAAAAGCTATTTATACAAGCCGGCCTTTGAATATCAAAATCTCCCCAAACCAATAAGTACCAATCTAGGTAAGAATATTATCCAATCACGATATTGGTTTTAAAATATTATTCTTTCGTACTTATTGAACTTGTTTTAGTAAGCAAGCCTGTTGAAGATACAAATTTTGATTAACATCTTTTAAAGTTGATATTTGTTAATTTCTGTGTTGATTTTTTTCAATTTGTAATTGCTTTTTAAGAGTAGGGTTTTCATAAATCATTTGTCATTTGATCTACGCGGTACATTAAAATTTTACATGGATAGCAAAAATTTGTCTCTGATACAACTTTTTAGAATCAAGACAAAACTTTTGCAGTATATAATTTGAGGTCTCTTATTTATAACAGTAAAATTATAAATAAAAAAATCCATTTTCATATATTGATAAAATATTTAGGTTAACTGATGGTCGAATTTATTGTTTTTACAATTCTGATTGATTACTATTAAGGGTAGAGTACAACTTTTGCAAATTATATATAAATTAAATATACAATTTTTTTAATATCTTATTTTACTTAAGATTTTA